TATTCTATTCTATTCTATTCTTCCTCCTCCAGTTTAATGAAAAGAAGGACCAGGGGAGACAGGATAGCAGTCTTCCAATATCTCAGGGGCTGCCACAAAGAAGAGGGAGTCAAACTATTCTCCAAGGCACCTGAGGGTAGAACAAGAAGCAATGGGTGGAAACGAATCAAGGAGAGAAGCAACTTAGAACTGAGGAGAAATTTCCTGACCATCAGAACAATTAATCAATGGAACAACTTGGATCCAGAAGTTGTGAATACCCTAACACTGGAAGTCTTTAAGAAGATGTTGGATATCCATTTGTCTGAACCGGTATGGTGTTTCCTGTCTAGGCAGGGGGTTGGACTAGAAGACCTCCAAGGTCCCTTCCAACTCTGCTATTGTATTGTATTGTATTGAAACAAATATCAACTGAAGATGCCTATGGGAACAGCAGTTTTTTTTACTACCCATTGCTCCAACCGATAGTAAAAAAAAATGCTTTTAAAAAAGTAAATAAAAAGATTCGACTCCGTTTTGTGTGTGAAATCCAGCTGCTTTTACATTGTGTGCGAGTCAACTGTGCAGCCACACCCACCTGGTCACATGACCACCAAGGCACGCCCCCCAATCCGGAAAGGGAAAATTTTTGAATTTCACCCCTGGTTTGTTTCCATTTCATCTCAAGGAACTGCCCTGTTTCACAAAGAGTAAGTGGGTGGCAATTTTCCCGGGGTATTTTGCAAACGAGGGAAAAGTTTTCGCTCCGGAAAGCGAATTATTGGCCCTTCATTCTTTCCTTGGCACCAGGTTTCCTATCTTGATTTAAACCTCAAGAATAAACTGAGATGAACTGAAACAAGAAAATGGAGCTTTCTTTTTTTTTCAAACTACGGAGAAACTGCTTCACACTTACGTCCGGAAACATTCGCGCATCGCTCCTCGTCCGAAAGGCTGGAAAAACAAAACAGAGGTTATTATAGGTAAGTCCTCAACATACAGCTATTCGCTTAGCGACCATTCCAAGTTACAATGGCACTGAAAAAAATGGTTCATCCTCGCTCTTATGACCATGTCTGCATCCCAGAGGTCACAGGATCAAAATCTGGGCATCACCTTATTAATAAATCATTGTTTAAAGACGGCTATAAAGGTATAATATTGTGTGGGCCTGTGGAGAGGAGAGTTGAGATAAACAGTAAATAACTTTTAGTTAACTACAATAACAACAAGGAAATGTTAATGGATAATATTTAATGATACATACAGGTGTGTTATTGGGGGGGGGATGCTTAGATATCTCACTTAACTGATTTTGCTTTAGAATATGTCATAAAGGTGTAATGTTATTGGAGATCTACTGAAACCGCAAATGAATGCCAGTAGGTGGTTGTGTCTTTAAATATAAACGATTCTAGATAAAAACGTGTTTAAATAATGGTAACCAAATGAGAATTGTGGTACAGGGATAGTAAAATACATAATTTTTCNGATAGTTGATTGGTGGAGTTATGCATAATTGAAAACAGTGGTATACAAATATAAATGGTTGGTAAATCTCTTTCATATTGGGATCTGTGATTATATAAAGGTATACCATTATTAAATAGACAATCAAGAATGTAAGGGAATTAGCTTTATTGAAAAATAATAATAATAATAATAATTGTAATTAAATTTACGTTGTACAATGTAAGTGAGACATTTAGTTATATTAGAAAAATCTGTGATTGTAAATGCTATTTGAGAATATGGATGCAAAAACACTTGTAACCAAATGACGTGCTGTATGTGATGATGTTTTTTTTGTGTGTGTGTGTTGTTTAATAAAAATAAAAATTTCTTGCAAAAAAAAAAGAAAAGAAAATGTTTCCCCTCTCGTTCAGAACTGAAGAAGCTTCATGGATGAGATGAGCAAGAAGTCTTCAAGGAAGGGGGTGGGAACCGAAGAAAATGCAATTGCCTTTTTGGAAAAGCACTTTTGGTTCAGTCGGGTTAGAGAAAGAAAGCGAAGGAAAAAAAAAAGAGGTATCCTACTTCCCATCTTCACCCTCCTCTCACTGAGCTTCTTCTTAATCTACCGCTGAAGTCCAGTAGCAGAGGACTTATCTGGCCAAAAACGGCTCCATGGTGGAACTCCAAAACTTCTTTCATAAGTTAAAATAAAACTCACACCGAAATCTTAAAGAGAGTTTTTTTCACAGCCATGGACCACCTAGACACACCATGTAAGCCACAGATTGTTGGGTTCAGGCAGACTGTCTGAATTCACCACAAATTGAGCTTTTGTGAGCCTTATCAAGTAGGCCAGATCATAAAAATCAGCTCCAACGGAAGACCACAATTACAATTTACTAAGATTGTCTAGAACTGAGTGTTTCTCAACTTCGCAACTTTTAAGAAGCGTGGACGTCAACTCCCAGAATCCCCCAGCCAGCCAGGAAGCCAGGACAGTACCCCTAGAGATTTTCACACGTGTGCATGCACCCACTGAGACGTCTGGAGCGAGTACAAGGAGACACAAACACATTGAACGCACACTTCACACCAGACACTTAAACACGGAGGAGAGTTAAAAACGATTCCCAGCACATGAAGTTTTCAACAGAACTGAGAAATGTGCATTGCAACATCCTGACACCAGTTCTGCTCCTTAAGAACATCACAACAAGCATCCCAAAGGGGGGGGGGGGGAGATGTTTGTGTTGTGACAACGCAATGCATATTTTATCCTCCACTTTCCTGCAGACCTTCCGGAACAAGTCTGTATTTGAAGGAAATAAATGTGCTTTCGACAGCTAAACATTGAAGCACATCCTCACATTTAGGTACTGTGATGCCCCGGGGCGTGGCACGAAGGCAACACAGCCAGAAAACCGGTATGAGTCCCATTATTGGCACTCAACTTTGCTCCCTACATCCCTTTCAGTCTCCTGCATGGAGAGAAACTCTTCCACAAACCTGAAGATACTCCAGTCCAAATGCTGTAAGCAGAATGACTGCAAACAATCACTCCAGCAGAGCAAGATAGGGAGTTCCAGAAGTGAAGAATAATTCCAGCAAGACAAAATTAAGCACACAGAAGGACGGAA